TGAAATATGAGTCTACATAACAATCAATTTATATATAACATGTACTTAAGGATTAATAGTCTAGATATAGAAAAAATGTATTTAATACTTAGGTAAGGATTAATATTCTTGATATAACAAAATGTGTAGAATATGGTGATGAAGATTAATAGTATGAATATAGAAAAATGTATGTTTAATATGTAGGTAAGAATTAATAGTCTGTATATAGAAAAAAGTGCTTGGGGCTGTATAGAATCTTACAAATCTTCTAAGTCAAACTCTTCATCTTTCAGATGAGATGGAAAAGCCAAGTTAGGTAAAGTGACATCCTCAAGATCACATAATCTATTTTGTTAGAACTGAAACTAGATTCTCATCTCACATCTTTACTGCTTTGTCCGAGACACTGAACAAATGGCCTTGTGAAATAATAAAATTATAGAATAAAATAAATGAAAAACTGACTATTCTTACTTTGACTAGTAGGTGAATCATATACTCTGCACCCAACATTCAGACTTTTTAGCTGATAATTTATCACTAAAGGAAGGCATGTGGGCAGATTACTCTAAATGTGTAAGCCAAGATACGGCATTTATATTAAAAAGGAGAATAACTTACTCTTCATTTTTTCCAGAAGTCTCAATCCTTGATCATTAAGATTCTTTCTAGCTATAGAAATATCAAAAAAATTGTTGACAATAATATCTACAATAGTGATAAAACTAACAAACATGTTTTGAGTACTGTGCTAAACATTTTCCATGTACTGGTTCACTGTTCCTTCAATAGCCATATGAGAAACTCTATTAGCAAACAAATCATTCATGCATTTATTTATTAATCTACTCATTCAACACACTATCAAGGAAATGTGCATTGTAGGCTTTTTATTTTTAAGGTACAGTGAGAGACATAGAGATATGAACTAAAGATGGAGACATAGTGTTATTATTTCTGTAAGCACTTTTTCTTATACTTTCAAATAAATTCATTGCCTTTACAGTGGAGTCACATCAAGCTTTTAGAAAACTCTTGCCATTCTCTTGCCAAGATAAGAAAAAGCTTGACAAGCAAATGTAGATTGAAGTAGAAAAAGTAAAATTCAGAGGCACATATTTTCACTAAAATGCTTATTTATGTGTAATATGGCAAAAATACACAAAGATGAAAATTATTAGGGAGTCTTGCACGTTGTAATTTATCAATAGATTTTGTTGTTGTTCAACTGAATCAAAGATAAATATATTAAGTACATATTTTATGCTTAGCTTTTTGTCTCCTCATTTCTCTGACTTTGTAGTGTAAAATATTCTATGTAATGTGAAGCAGGATATCTGTTTTCAAAGTAAAATGATAAGTCGTATGATGAAATTGTGTCTAGTTTTCTAACCATAATTTTTTTCTAGAAGAAAAATTTTCTGGCCATTATTTTCACTTTCTTCCTCTCTTAGTAGCTTCAGTGTTAATATGCTTAAAAATGAGGTGTTGTTTCACCTCCACCACTTTATCTTTCGGATGGCAAAACATTTTCTTACAGTCAACATTTATATAACGTATATTTGAGATCTTCTAGAGAATATTGGTGAGTTGGAAGGATTGTCAGGGTGTTTTTGCTAATTCTAAGGATGGTGTAATAATGATAGCTTGAAGAAATAAAATACAGGTGAGTGAAAAAATTTAGGCTACTAGAAGACTTAATTTGTGAGGAATTTTTCCTTGTTCTGCCCTAATATGAGTCAGGATTAGGATATTATTTAGAGGAATTCCCTCTCAAGTTGCAGTGTTGTAAATGATATATGAGAGGACAAAGGTGATGTTAACTATTTTTATGAGCGCTCTCAGAAAAGGTTATGCAGAGAATTCGATTGAGCAAATTCCATGATGGCAGGATCCAGCTTCTGGCCACTAGAGCTCCACAAAGCCTGATCAATGCTTGGCATATAGCAGGATACGCATAGTAAGAAATAAAGATTTTCCAATATGGTAGCATAGCTTTTTCCCATTGGCATATTGCTTTCTGAAGGTCCTTGGCCTTTTTTATTTTGGAACTGTGCTTGTCATATCTAGATTTTAATTCCAGCTATTCTTTCCTTATTTCAGCCAAATGTAAACGGTGCCATTACTGTAGCTTGGACTTGGGGAAAGCATACAAGAAAAATTATGGACAATGTAATCATCATTGGGGCGAACAAGAAATTAGTATTATTTACTGCTTAGAACCTACAACTCAGGCTGTATATTAGCTGACCAAAAGGAAGAAATTAAGATCATGCAGAACTAAGGATGATAGAAAAAGGTAGAGACCCGTGCACCCAGAGTTCAGTACTTTTCATAATAAAGCTTTCTCCAAACTTCCATTAAGGACTAGAACTCTGTTCATGAATTTCTATGATGAATAAAGGTTGAGAAAATGGAATATATATGCTTGAACCACACAGGAGTAGCAGTCATTCATACATAAACATAAAACCTCTGCAGTTCAGTTCTCTTTTCAAGGTGTAATAGCAGAAGTAAAGCAGAGTCCATTACATGGAAGATGTTTCAGAGACACACTTTGTATTTGTTATGGGATTAACTACAAGAAGTAATAATGTAGCCATAGGTGGATCAAAGAATAGGAGAAAGTCTAATTCTGAAAGGCAAGTCTCATTACAGATTCTGTGTCATTTGTCTTAAGAAAGTTACTTCATAAAACAATCTAGATCCACCAGACTTGGGACACTAGACATGGATGTTTAGATCTTCCTTATGAATGGGACAGAACTGTGGTGGGAGAATGATTGGTATGTGGGAATTGACGAGACAAGAAAAACCATTCCCTGTTTGGAGTTTTATTTTATTTATAATTTGTCAAACCTAAGTGTGAGACAGGGAGCAGGAAAGGGTGTAAAAAGTGAGAAAATAAGGTAGGAAAGAAGGACACTCAATAGAATTACCTTTTTCCAAAGAGTCAGGAACTTTGAGCAATGATTCATCACAGTACTTTAGTCCTTAGGATGGTCCTACTTGAAGAGATGAATTAAAGAAGAGGGAGGAGTGACCTTTGCCCACAGCCCACCTCTTCTCAGTTGCCCTCACTTACGCTGTGAGGGTCCATAGTATTCTTCCCCAGACTCTCTTACCAAGTTATCTGTTCCTTACAATTTTCATTCAAAAATGCAAATTTGATACTTCTTATATGTTTAGAAATTAAAATGAATCATTTTTTATTCAAAATGCTTGGAAATAACAGCAGAAGAATAAAATGAAGGCAAATACCCCACCCTTAAGATGAAGGTGTTTAAGAATGCACATATTTGTTGGCTGCTGAAAAAAAAGAGTTGAAATATTCTCTGATTGGTCATGTTAACGGAACACACAATTCCCACAGGAGAGTTCGTCATCAGAAGCTCCCAGCTATTTTTTCAACCAACACTTAGAAACTTTTATGGGGTAGACAATGTTGAACAATTGAACAATATTTTAGATGACTTACAATGTATTTTTTTCATAATTCAAGTCTTGCATATAAAAAGTAAAAATGCAGGGGCTGGCCCAGTGGTGCAGTGTTAAGTTGGGCGCACTCTGCTTCAGCAGCCAGGGGTTCTCATGTTCGGATCCTGGGCCCGGACCTACACCACCCACCAAGCCATGCTGTGGCAGCATCCCACATACAAAATAGAGGAAGATGGGCACAGATGTCAGCTCAGGACCACTGTTCCTCAAGCAAAATGAGGAAGATTGGCAACAGGTGTTAGCTCAGGGCCAATCTTCCTCACAAAAAATAAAATAAAATGCAACTTTTAGAAGTCAGCATATAAAACACAAAAATGCAACCCTTAGAAGTCAATTATAAATATGTTTGTTGAGCATCATTGAAATGTTAGGACTGAGCTAGACCCATCTAGATATGAAGATGAATAAATGTCATTTCTACCTTTGAATAACTCAATATCTGAACAGATGAGAGAAAGATAGAAAAAGAGTCTTTGAAGGGGAGTAGAACTTAATCCAGTGTAGTTATGATGATCCCTGGTAAAAAAAAATACCTATGTTGAGAATGAAGAAATAATCAGAATTAGCTAATGGGATAGGGGTTGGAAGGGCATTTACGCTGAAGAAACTACACGGGAAAATTAATTAACTGATGAATAAAGGTCTGAAACAAATGTAAACCTTCAGATGAAATATCTTCTTTTAATTGCAGTAGCCATTTTTTGTGAGCTCCCAAGTGGGGAGTGTGATTTTGACATGTGCACTTAGGTTACTAGACATAATGTGTTATAATAATGCAACCACAACTGACTAGAAAATTAAGCATTTATAGTTTCAAGTAACTGTTAAGATTAGAAGGCATCTCCTCACAACTAGGAACTGGAAAAAGAGTAAAAAACAAAAAATAAGATACTGTACATCAGGCAATGGAGAATAGTGATTTCTGAGAGACAGAAAAAAATGACGTGAGTCCTATAAATGTCCAATGAAAGCCTTGAGAAATATTCTGGCCCATGGCTTAGGGAGGAGTAAGTCAGGCAGAAACCTGCAGACACCCGGAGTTGAAGTGAATGAGCTGAGAGCCCAGGGAGACACAGGCAGCCGGAGTTGATAAGACAGCCTACCTGAGAGAAAGAGAACTTAAAAAATGTGAACAAGTTCCTCCTCGAATATGCAGCAGAGGATTCATCAGTGCAGGCAAGTAAAGAAAGTCCATGTGGCCAGGTAAAATGAATAGAAGGAACTGTAGCAAGACTCACACAGGATTGAGAACAGTGCCTCGTCCCACTAGCTTGATTGGAAAGTGTCCTAACTGTAACAGAATGTGGTAGGCTGAAAAACAAACCCCAGAAAGACATCCATGTCAAATCTCTGGAACTTGTAAATATCAACGTATTTGGAAAAAGAGTCTTTGCAGAGGTGTTTAAGTTATGGATCTTGAGATGAAGAGATAACCTAAGATTATCCAAGTGTGGCTTAAATGCCATCACAAGTGTCCTTATAAGAGCTCAACAGAAAGAGATCTGACACACACAGAGACCATGAGGCAGTGTGATCATGGATACAGAGAATGGAGTGATGCGGCCACAAGACGAAAAATGCCAGCAGCCACCAGAAACTCGAAGAGACAAGGTGCAAATTCCTCCCTAGAGACTCCTGAGGGAGCACAGCCCTGCTGACACCTTGATTTTGGCCAAGTGATACTGATTTTGAACTTCTGACCTCCAGAATTATCTAGCAGAATAAATTTCTGCTGTTTTAAATCACCAAGCTTGTTGTAATTTGTCACAGCAGCTTCACGGGCTATGTGAAACAGTACATAGCAGAGGCTTGTCTCAGTAGTGGGAAAATAACAGCCCTAGATTAAATACTGTTCTCATCTGCCTAATACATCTTAAAATGAAAACAAAAGAATCAAAGTATTTCCAAGTAACTTAGCTGCATCCCAGAACAAAGTTCAACAAATTTTATAAGAATATAAAAATATCCAGCACCCAAAAAGGTAAAATTCACAATGTCTGGCATCCAATTAAATATTATCAAATATTCAAAGAAGCAAGAAAATAAGACCCATAAATAGGAGAAAAATCACTGAATAAAAACTGACCCACAACTAACTCAGATGTTATAATTAGCAAAATTTATTCCACATGTTAAATAGGTTAAAAGAAAGACTATACATTTCTTTTATAAAAGCCAAATCAAAATCTAGAGATAAAAATACAATGGGTGAGATGAAAAATACATAGCATGATTTATGGCAGATTACATGTTGCAGAAATAAAGATTAATGAACGTAAAGATCTAGCAATAGGAACCATGCAAAATGAAATTCAGAAATAATAATAAAAAAAAGATTTAAAAAATAAAAAAGCATTAATGACTAGTGGGAAAATTTCAAGTAGCATAATATATGTGTAATTGGAGTCCCTAAGACAGAGAGTGAAGGACAGAAAAATTACTGAAGACAATAGCCAAAATTTTTCCAATTTGATAAAAAGTGTGAACTTTCAATGAACCCTAGAAAAGGAACATGGTGAAAACCATACCAAACACATCATAATCAAGTTGCACAAAAAAAAATAAAGATTAAGAGGCAATCACACTAGCAGCCAGAGAAAAAAACAAATGTTACATATAAAGAAACAAAAATAAGAATGATAGCAAAACTATGCAAGTGGAAAAATAGTGAAATTACATCTTTAAAATAATAAATGGAAGGAAAAAACTCTGTCAATCTTGAATTCTTTGCTCAGCAAAAATATCATTCAAAAATAAAAGTGAAATAAGGCTTTTTCAAAAGTACAGAAGCTGAAAGAATTTATCTCCAACACACCCACATTATAAAATTGATAAAATAGGAGGCGGAGTCAAGATGGGGGCGTAGGCAGACTCGGAACTCACCTCCTCCTGTGGACACAGCCAATTTACAACTACTCGTGGAAAAATTACCCCTGAGACAGAA